AAATTAACTTTTAACTTAGAGAATCTAATAATTGTTTAGGTTTAAGTTAAAATTGTATCTATTATTACTTATAATATGCGACTTGTAATAGGGGAGAAATTCAAAACACCAGTGTCCACCAATTCTCGTACGTCTGTAATTTATTAAGATTTATTTGATATGTTCGTCAATTCGGATTTTTAGAGCTTGCTCCGTTTGACCAATGTAAACAAAACTGCAATGTTTACAATTAATTTGTCATTTCTTTTCTTGGAGAATGGCAATTTCTTCTTTCCTATTGACTGAAAGTGAATCTAACATGCATTTATTTAATTAGGATTTAAATTATATTTCGTTATCTTTTGGAAACTTGTATCACCCAATGGATTAGGGAGAAATCTTCAGCTGTTAGCAGTTTCGTATCTCCTACATATATTTTGTCTTTACCTTATCAAAATCTAATCTACTCATGTGTAAAATTGATCTAAGTATTTGCAATACGCTTTAAATTACGTAGGCGTTTTGTTAAGCCTGCTAAGCCCTCTGATGAAAGTATTAAACAGAATTATTGTGCAATCGATAAATCAAAGACAGCAACGCAACGGCGAGCCTTTCTCGTTTAACTGGAACAGTTGATTGGCAGTTAAAAGCTTAAATTAAGGTGCTTGAGTAACTAATTACATTTAGAAGCTGTTACTCGTTGTCGCTCAAAAGGCTGAGGACTATCGCGAGTGAATTAGGTAGGCAGGTACATGTTCATTTTTGTCAGGCTCCCAAAGTCGGGCATTGCGATTGTTGCCTTGGCTTTCAGTAAAAGAAATGAAATAAAAAATACCCTGGACAGGAAAAACAGTTAGGGGAATGTAGGATGCTAAAGAAGATATGATTCCAGGACATATTCAAGTTATGAAGGAGTAGTTAGTAGTAGTAGACATATTAGAAGCAGAAACAGGAATTAAGAGGAGTAGATATAGACCTATAGGTACTAGATTACCGTTCGCAAATAGTTAAGGATGTGGGACGTTCTAGTTTTGGGGAAATGCGAAGATTAGCTTAGGATAGAAAGGAGTGGATGTTTGTGTCCAATCAGTCTTAGGACTGACGACCTTATGATGATGATAATGGTAAAAACTGGTACTCTGACTTTCTCCTTTGCTATGGTGACAAAAAATTTCTAATGGCGTTAAAATTCTTAGAACCTTTTCCGTTAAGAATACGTAAACATTCAAGGCTGAGGGTTGAAATGGTCATAGAATTAGGTAAAAAATGTTATTTTGTTGGGCTTAAAGAACGTATTTCTGTATTCTTCATAACTGAAACAGGAGAAAATCGGAATATTTGAAAATAAACGTGATATTCAATTTTAATGATCCCGACAGAACTTTCGTCCCTGAACACCTTCCGTATTTGCATCTCTGATTGATAGATATTTGTAGAAGTGATGTAAACGTCTAAAATTGATCGTTGCACTTGCGTAATATATACACATGTATGCAAACTAGAACGGAAACTATTTTTCCAAGATCGAGTTGCATTTGCGTAAAAGTATATGAAGTAATTATCTTAAAAGCTTGTATCATAAGGCAGTTCCTCCATTAACAGGCAATTTGGTTTAATTAAGGTTAGCACTGCTTCCGGGAGAATAATTAGTTTTTCCCTCTAGCCTGTAGGTCGGTGGTGGTGGTTGTTGGTACTGCGACGATTAAAAAAAAAAAACGTAAATTAACTTTTAACTAAATGCAATCCAAAATAAAAAAAAAAAAAACGGGTAGATAACTCTTAATTTTCTTATTATTAAAATGATATTAATTATAAAAACAACTTGAAGAACAATTTCAAACGGTTTATAGGTATGGCCCTCGACGCAAGAAAAAGTTGGTTTTTAGGTTTGTTTTTCTTTTTTTCATACTGAGTTTACGATAACCATAAAATATGATGATGATAATGATGAAAGTTCGTGAATTTTTATTAAGATTTTTGTAGATATGGTATGAAGGAAGACAGTAATTATAAGATTACTTAAACAGGCCAGTCCCCAATAGTAATAACAACGAAAAGGGGGTTGTCTATTTCATCAACATAAAAACATTATTAGCTTCTATTTATATAAGTTAGATTCCTGACCGTTACTATTTAATTATGTAGTTTTTTCCAGAGTGGCAGTCAAATAATTACACATGTTTTAATTGTGTAATTATTTGACTGCCACCCTCGAAAAAAGTACATAATTATCTATTGTTATTACATGTAGGTACCTAGTTTTCCTTTAGACATTTTCCGTGGCTGTTGTATTCGGATTTTCCTTTCCTCTTTTTTTGGTTCTGTCGAAAGCGATTTTAAATCAACCTCTTTCGAGCACACAGCTGAAAAATGATAATAAAAAGCTCCTGGGTACATGAATACCTACTATGTAAATGGACATGTAGGTACTTATTTACATAAATGCAAATATGCGAGGTAGAGTTACGTTCTCTCGAAAAAACGACCGACAAAACTACGTATATGCATTTCACCGATTGTTCGTCGTTAAGTAATAAACGTTGGAAGTTGCGGTAGTTGTTTTCGACGNAAAAAACTGGTAGATAACTCTTAATTTTCTTATTATTAAAATGATATTAATTATAAAAACAACTTGAAGAACAATTTCAAACGGTTTATAGGTATGGCCCTCGACGCAAGAAAAAGTTGGTTTTTAGGTTTGTTTTTCTTTTTTTCATACTGAGTTTACGATAACCATAAAATATGATGATGATAATGATGAAAGTTCGTGAATTTTTATTAAGATTTTTGTAGATATGGTATGAAGGAAGACAGTAATTATAAGATTACTTAAACAGGCCAGTCCCCAATAGTAATAGCAACGAAAAGGGGGTTGTCTATTTCATCAACATAAAAACATTATTAGCTTCTATTTATATAAGTTAGATTCCTGACCGTTACTATTTAATTATGTAGTTTTTTCCAGAGTGGCAGTCAAATAATTACACATGTTTTAATTGTGTAATTATTTGACTGCCACCCTCGAAAAAAGTACATAATTATCTATTGTTATTACATGTAGGTACCTAGTTTTCCTTTAGACATTTTCCGTGGCTGTTGTATTCGGATTTTCCTTTCCTCTTTTTTTGGTTCTGTCGAAAGCGATTTTAAATCAACCTCTTTCGAGCACACAGCTGAAAAATGATAATAAAAAGCTCCTGGGTACATGAATACCTACTATGTAAATGGACATGTAGGTACTTATTTACATAAATGCAAATATGCGAGGTAGAGTTACGTTCTCTCGAAAAAACGACCGACAAAACTACGTATATGCATTTCACCGATTGTTCGTCGTTAAGTAATAAACGTTGGAAGTTGCGGTAGTTGTTTTCGACGTCGCGTCGCGATGCCCAGCACAACGACGACGACGACGACGACGCTAAGGGAAAGTTGACAATTAAAACATTCTTTCACGCGAATACACGAGCGATTTGAATTCCGCGGATTTGTAGGGATGTACCCGTTGTAGTGGTTCGGTATTTCGATTGTGAAACGCGGACGAAAACCTTGACCTTTCTTACTCGCTCAGCTCATACTTGCGAGCAGACAAAGGTATAGTTAGTTCACAATATCATGAGTCTTCCCATATATAGTCCAGTCAAATGAGGGAAATGGCTAAAGAGTACCTTATAATTGAGAAAATGATTGAAACACGGGTCATTTTATCGGAAAATTCGTGAAGAGCGAATATGTAAATGAAAATTATTTTCCCGGTATAGGGGGGTGGGGAACGGGGAACATACATGACTTTTAGTTAATTGAATGTATCTCATTACTGTTAATAGATACAAAAAAAAATGTAAAATGCGAATTTGTCCCGTTTAGGCTGCTGCAAATTTTGATGTAAAAAGTAACACATTTGGACAATTTTTAACGGAGTTATAGCGGTTTAAACATTTAATTGTTTAAAAAATAATAAAATAACAGACAAAAAAAATTGTTTTCTCTGAAAAGATTAAGATAAGTTACGAATTGATTAAACTATCAATTTTAAATTTTTAATAATTATTTTGAATTTTTTAAAAATTTCCGTGAATTTTGAGGTCTCTTTGCCATTGCTACCGATTTGTAACCACCATAGTGTGCAAAGGGAGACTAAAGGGCACTTATTATAATTGCTAGAGCGTTGACTGGACTGTAATCCACATGTTTCTCCATACAAACTGTAAAAATCAAGGAACGGGCAAAGTTTGGTCACTGTCCAACCCAAGATGAAGGTTCATGGGATTCTGAACTACCTCTACTACTTAATTCTCATTCTCATCCCTCAAACACGTTAATACCACCGTGGAATAAATATTTTTTGTACTATCATGTATCACCTACCAATTATTTAAACAATGGAAATGACTTACATTGAAGGTGGCTAATCTGATTGAAGATTAATACTATCTTCAGAAATTGTATACGTTTTAGAAACTTTTAAGCCCGAAAACGAAGGATAGTTGTACCCATTAGTAGGTCTATGGGGCATATTATTATTATTATTAAAAAAAACGAAATTTGCCAAAATTATCTTATAAGGAAATTTGCTTAAAATTTATGTATTTAAGGTACGACTTTAAAAAAAAACACCGATCTTCAGTAAAATGCCACCATCACTTTTATTTTATTGCAATTGGGATGTTGTTTTGTGATTACTAAATTGAGTTTTTATTCTGTAATTTTTTATTCTCAATCATTGTTTATGTTAAATAAACGTAAGGTTTATTAATACTGATTTCTTCTTAGGGCAACAAAGATTAATTCGCCAACAATCTAGTCCGTCGTCCACTCTAGGGTTTACACCAAATTTAATTCCAAAAAGTAAGTGGTGAAATTATTCTATTAAACAAGGTTATTGTATTCGAATTCTTCTATAAAGACACGATCTCGTGAACAGCCTCAATTTGCTGAGAATTTCACGAATATTTTCAGAACTCATCAAGCAAAATGATTTATTAGACTTGAAATATAAAAAAACGGACATACAGACATGCAAGAGATCCTATGAGGGTTTTGTTTTTCATTCGAACGTACGGAACCCTAAACCAAGAACCCATTTAACATTGTAGTTGGAAAAAAAAGACATGTTCTCCCATACATTCAAACTGCAAATGTAATTTTTTACGTACAATATTGTTTTGTTGAAAGATTTACCACGTTATATTCAGACCATATTATGTCGAAACTGCCAGATATGGATCGCGATTTCGATCTTTTTGGATCTCATCAGCGCGTCGCAGGCAGCTCCGACAGAACNAAACAGCGTTTTACAAATAGAAATATTTGTATCATTTGAAAATTAGTACCAAATCGGACAAACAATACCACAAATCTACGTTACAACTTGACAATCAATATAAAGCGCCTGATAGTTTAGATCAGTATCATAATCTAAAAGATATAAACAATTCATTTGATACGTCACACGGTACAGTTTGCAAAACTTATTTTTAAATGTCCTATTGGCCCCCCGAAAAATGACCCCCATAGAAATTCATGTGTTTACTGAATTTCAACTTAATCGGCGCAATAGATTCGGAACAAATTGACTGTGAAAGACGGACAGACGGGCACACAATTGATCCTATAAGGAACGAAATATTTGCACCCCTTTGGTAAAGTCCATGATGATAATAGGTTGTTGCAGACTTGCAGGTTCAGGTCGAAGAGGACGAAAGAGGATTCGAATCACTACTGGCTTCCAGTAGCTCCAGTCAGGCAGAAGCCGATCCCGACTCTCCTAGGGAAGAAGGAGGTGACGATCGGGAAACCTGGGCTTCGAACGCGGATTTTTTACTTTCCATAATCGGCTTTGCAGTTGATTTGGCCAACGTATGGAGATTTCCTTATCTCTGCTACAAAAACGGTGGTGGTAAGAAAAGCCTGTGTATACGTATTGAATTTACTTTTAGAAAAAGGAATTTCACAAATTCGTCCTTTGAAACTCAATAAATAAATTTGAGACATATTTTATTAAATGCTTATTGTTTATTTGCGTTACGTAAATAGAAATTGCAAGAGAGTTTTGAGTAAAACTTAATGAAAATGAAAATTTTCTGTATTCGAAAAGGCAGGTAGGTAAGTGGGTATGTAATTCCATAAAATTAACAAAGAACATTAATTGGTAACAACTAGGGTTGGACGATCATTAAATTTAACAATCAATCACCGATTTTAAATCAATTATTTCGATACTTAATTGAAATAACCGATTATTTTAATTAATCGGGATAAGTGACTAATCAAAGTTCATTAGGGAAATAATAATTTCAAAATAAGGCAGTTTCTGCGTAAAATTAATCGCCGCTAGGTTTTATTGGAGTAATCGTAAGAATCGAACAAATCGTTTGCGATTAATCGATTACACTGGTCAACACCATTTTTGTTTCCTTATTTTTTTTACTTTTATTGGGTATTTCTATAGTCCTGATTATGAAAAGAATATTGGATGATTACTAACAGCTTTACTTTTTGAAATATAAAATTTTACTGTTTCGGCTAAGTAATACAAAAAAAATACTATACATGTAAGCAAAATTTCTATTCTACACTATGAGATGATCTTTTAGACGATTTTCTTAAATGAACGACATCAGGTTGATCTCGTTGCAAACTCCAACAGTAGTCGGCCATGATATGGGAGTCCCACCTTCCTTGATAACGTTCTTCCATTGTCCGTATATCCTGATGAAAACTTTCACCCCGCTTTTCACTAAAATCACCCAGATTTTGTGGGAATAGATCTAAATGTGAGTGTAGGAAGTGAATTTTAATGNCGTTCAAACGTGTCTAAGGGCTAAACAGTCAATAGAGCGTCTTATAGTTTAGAGTGTCTGTAAATGTAATGTGCCTGATAATTTAGAGCAATTTCATAATCAGAAAGATATCAACAATCTGTTTGCATAGTAATGGAATTTTATGTTAAAATATAATTCTTTTAGTATGTCAACAGAGTTAGACAAATCGGGACTGTATACCTTCAAACGGGTTACAGTGCTTAACAGTCAATAGAGTGCCTGATAGATTAGATCGTTTGTTAATGTAAAGTGCCTGATAATTTAGAGACTTCCTATCATAATTGGAAAAATTTATTTGAATAGTAATAAAATTTTACTTTAAAATACAATTTTCTCGGGGTTTGTTCTTCTATGGATGGTTTCATGAATAGGAATAGTTGTACCATCAAGAATCCTCCATGGCATGCGTCACAAATGTACTTCAGATCTAAGAATCAGTAGAGAATCTGATCCCTTACAACGTCCCTTGATTTAGAGCACCTTTCGAGAATTTTGTCAAAAAGGAGAAGTCCTCCGACATACAATTAGATAGAATATGTTTTAACAGCTTTTACAATTGAAGAGTATCATTTAATCAATCTATGCACCTTAATGACCGAATCTTGCTGGATCCATTTCAAGACTTTTATATAGGTATATGATAATGAAATTTAATCCTTTTTTAACTAGATGTATAAAAACGTACTTAAAGTAGTTCTTTTGCTCTTTGCTGTTGCTTAATTTTATTTAACAGAAGTCTCTGATTTAGTTGCCTCGTTGTTATCAGGACAGACTAACTGAAATGTATATGCATACATATATCGATAACTCAAGTCGCTTAACTTGCATTCATGGTTACGTCCGAAAGGACCATTTGAGTGAAAAGATAACGACGATATTCAGTCACCATTGTATACGTGGGAACGGATTTCCTATCCTAGAATTATTTACGTCTATATACGAACATTTTTTGTGTCGGTATCGTCTAACACTTACCTATTGATATTTATTAAATATTTAGTAGATCGATACCTACCGCTGCGGTTTTATTCAAAAAAATGAAATGCTAAAATTCCTACAGACTTTGAATTATTTTATGGGATTTAAAAATATTCGGCAAAGTTCGTGAACCTTTTGTTAATTTTCTATTGATCTACGTTTAAAAAGTGGACATTAAGTATTGATAATACCAGGTCTTCTTTTTTGAGATAAAGACTATGATAAATGTGCTTTTCAACATAATTAATGGAAGAGTGTTAACGAATTGTCAAGTAATTGTACACACAATTTATTTAAATTATTACTTATGTTATTCCTTGTACTCAGCGATAGTAAAGAGGAAGTTTTACTTCCAGGTGCGTTCCTTATTCCGTATATTTTAATGTTAGTGTTCGGTGCAGTTCCTTTATTCTATATGGAATTAATTTTGGGCCAGTTTAGTCGTCAAGGTCCTATCAGTGTGTGGCGCATCTGTCCATTATTCAAGGGTGACGTCAGGACGTTTGATTATTTGATTTGCATTTTGATTACGTTCTGTTCCAGGTGTCGGATTTTGTGCTGTACTCGTAGCATTTTACGTCTCGTTCTATTATAACGTTATAATTGGTAAGTTTCAATTTAAATAATATAGCAATAAAGTTTCATATTAAAATAAAATGCGTGATTTCTCTAAACAGCGTTTTAAAAATAGAAATATTTGTATCATTTGAAAATTAGTACCAAATCGGACAAACAATACCACAAATCTACGTTACAACTTGACAATCAATATAAAGCGCCTGATAGTTTAGATCAGTATCATAATCTAAAAGATATAAACAATTCATTTGAATAGTAATGGAATTCTACGTTAAAATACAATTCTTTCGGATTTGGTGCTCTAAAGAATATTTCCTAATTGGAAGTATTTATGCCATTAAGAAGAAGTTTGTATACTAGAGTTTCAAATTGGGAAGATATACCTTCAAATGTGCCTCAGAACTTAACAGTCAATAGAGCGTCTGATATTTTAGAGCGTCTGTAAATGAAAAGTGCCTGATAATTTAGAGCAATTTCATAATTAGAAAGACATCAACAATCCATTTCAATAGTAACGGAAGTGTACGTTAAAATACAATTTTTTTAGTATGTTATCAGAATTGGTGCTCTAAAGAATGTTTTCTAATTGGTACTATTTATACTAAAAATAAAATCATTTTGAAGCTCATATATTAGAACTTCAAGTCGGGAAGATATACCTTCAAACGTGCCTCAGAAGTTAATGGTCAATAGAGCGTCTGACAGTTTAGAGCGTTTGTGAATGTCTGATAATTTAGAGCAATTTCATAATTGGAAAGATATATCAACAATTCGTTTGGATAGTTATGAAATTTTGTGTTAAAATACAATTGTTTTAGTATGCCAACAAAATTAGTGCTTGACAGACAATAGTGCGCCTGATATTTTACAGCTTTTGTAAATGTAAAGTGTCTGATAATTTAACGCAGTTTCAGAGAATTCTATGTTAAAATAAAATTTTATTGTTATCAGAGTTGATGCTCTAAAGAATGCCTCATAATTAAGAATATTTATATGATAAATAAAATCGTTTTGAAGTTTATATATTAGAGCTGTAATAGGGAAGGTATAGGTACGTTCAAACGTGTCTAAGGGCTAAACAGTCAATAGAGCGTCTTATAGTTTAGAGTGTCTGTAAATGTAATGTGCCTGATAATTTAGAGCAATTTCATAATCAGAAAGATATCAACAATCTGTTTGCATAGTAATGGAATTTTATGTTAAAATATAATTCTTTTAGTATGTCAACAGAGTTAGACAAATCGGGACTGTATACCTTCAAACGGGTTACAGTGCTTAACAGTCAATAGAGTGCCTGATAGATTAGATCGTTTGTTAATGTAAAGTGCCTGATAATTTAGAGACTTCCTATCATAATTGGAAAAATCCAACCGATCGATTTGAATAGTAATAAAATTTTACTTTAAAATACAATTTTCTCGGGGTTTGTTCTTCTATGGAGGGTTTCATGAATAGGAATAGTTGTACCATCAAGAATCCTCCATGGCATGCGTCACAAATGTACTTCAGATCTAAGAATCAGTAGAGAATCTGATCCCTTACAACGTCCCTTGATTTAGAGCACCTTTCGAGAATTTTGTCAAAAAGGAGAAGTCCTCCGACATACAATTAGATAGAATATGTTTTAACAGCTTTTACAATTGAAGAGTATCATTTAATCAATCTATGCACCTTAATGACCGAATCTTGCTGGATCCATTTCAAGACTTTTATATAGGTATATGATAATGAAATTTAATCCTTTTTTAACTAGATGTATAAAAACGTACTTAAAGTAGTTCTTTTGCTCTTTGCTGTTGCTTAATTTTATTTAACAGAAGTCTCTGATTTAGTTGCCTCGTTGTTATCAGGACAGAGTAACTTTTAAATAAGCTTAGAGGACATTAGGCAGTATCTGTTTTGTACCGTTCTCTTTTTGTTTATTAACAGGATTAGTGACTTAGCTAAAACCTTATTAGTCATACATATTTGTATTTAAATAAAGGAACTAACTTTGAGAAAAGTTCCAGCAACTCACTGCTCTAATTCGTTAGTACGTAATAGTAAAATGATCACCGTGCATGTAAAGTTCGAATAAAAAATTAAACGCATGGAAAATTTTTTCGGAAGATAAGTTCCAATTCAGCCTGTTTTGAGAATTTTTGAGAGAAATTGTTAGAAAATGTAGTGGAGTGTTTCCATGGTCAAAATAAAAATCCTTTTTGAAAAATCAAATGTAGTCGAGGAAAAAGTACCTACAGAAATTTTTATGCAGTAAATGGGATCGAGATGCTGCTTACAAACATGAACATAAAAGATGTGATTGTGAACATAAAAGATCAATTCAAAGATCAATTCATCTTCGAAAATGTATCGATGCATAAGAAAAATGCATTGCAAAGTTGTTACAAAAAAAAAATTGTAACTCTGTCAATAATGATAGAAATAAGTTCAATTTTGTTATAATTTTGTTTTGGGGGTCGCAGAATATACAGTCAGTGAGGCCTTCCGAGGTACCTGGGGCCCAGGGCGACCATCATGCCCGTCGTATCCAGGAGTTACGTTTTAAAATCATTAAAAATTAATCGAAACCATTTACTCGGGGGTTTTGAGGGTCGCTGAACACGAATATGCAGTCAGCGAGGGCTTCCGAGGTACCTGGGGCCCAGGGCGACCATCATGCACATCGTATCCAGGAGTTACGTTTTAAAATCATTAAAAATTAATCGAAACCATTTACTCGGGGGTTTTGAGGGTCGCTGGACATAAATATGTAGTCGACGAAACCCCAGTAGCAAAATTAGACTTACTTCTATCATTATTGAACTAGGTGCAAATCTTTTTTTATAATATCTTTGCAATGTATCTATAAGATTGCATTTTTCTTATGAACCGATACATTTTTGAAGATAAATTCATCTCTGATCAAATGCAGAAAACCACGTCTCGATTCGACTTACAATACGACTTTAGTTCTTCGACTATTGGTTGTGTACCAATTTATATTTGTTCGGTTATACGTAGCATGGTCACTATACTTCTTGGCGTCCAGTATAAAAGTGGAACTACCATGGTTACATTGTAACAATGTTTGGAATACGGACCTGTGTTGGGAAAGTATGTTGCCGGAAAACAGAAACAACCAAACTGCCGTCCCTATAATTAATAATATATCAACGGTGTCAATCGTCAATACGCATACGCCAGCTTCTGAATTTTTTCAGTAAGTGTGGATTTTTTTTTACCAATTTGAGGCTAACGTAAATGTCGTTTTAGTCGCGCTGTTCTTGAGATGCAATGGAGCGACGGACTTCACGCAATGGGTTATCCCAAATGGCAACTTGTTCTTTGTTTGTTAATTGTATATACCATGTTGTACATTTCGTTGTTTAAAGGGGTCAAGTCATCAGGTAATAATACAAATGTAGCCCATAATATTTTATTTAATCTCGCGTATATTTAGAAATATAAGACTGCGAAGTGTATCGCATAATATTGGAGTAGATAAAGAGAAGGTTGAGGGTTATATTTTAATAAATATGAATAGTAACTTTTTATTACAAAAATTACGATTTCTTGATAAGTAAAGTACTTTTATATTTGAAAGGGATAATATAGAATATTATTCAATTAATTCCTTTTTTATAGGTAAAGTTGTTTGGGTAACAGCAACTATGCCCTACGTTGTACTTAGTATTTTATTAGTAAGGGGTTTGATGTTACCCGGAGCCGTGAAGGGTATCACTTATTATCTTAAGCCTGAGTTATCAAAATTGAGAGAAGCTCAAGTAAGTTTCACATATTTCCTTAACCTACTAATTATAAAATAGATCTCGAAATGCTAATAATTAATTATTAAGACGAAAGGTGGTGTTATTGATAGGGCTTGATATTTAAATTTTTCTAGGTTTGGGTTGACGCAGCTGTTCAAATATTTTATTCTGTGGGTGCAGGGTTTGGAGTTCACTTATCTTATGCAAGCTACAATACATTTCATAATAATTGCTTTAGGTAATTAAAAACAAGTGCAATTAACAGTAAAATGAAAAACGTTAATGATTTGTTTTAAGTTTTCGATAATATTTAATTGCACTTGGACAAAAGTTCTGTTTTCAATTAAAGTCTTTGTTTTTTATAATGCAAATTATTAGTTATCAATGGTAAGGTGTATGGTGTCATCAAAATATGTTTTTAGGGATTGTATTGTAACTACAATTGTTAATTCGTTTACAAGTTTCTTTTCTGGTTTTGTAATATTCACATATTTGGGATTTATGTCTCATAAGCAAGGGGTTCCAATCAGCACCGTTGCTACCGAAGGTATATATGATCGTATTCGAAGGTCGAAAATCAGGAAAAATATTGTTACCGTCTTGTTTGTTTGTTTCCAGGACCTGGCTTAGTATTTCAGGTTTATCCTGAAGCAGTAGCCACTTTACCAGGATCACATTTGTGGTCTATGTTATTTTTCTTCATGCTCATTATGCTTGGATTAGATTCAGCCGTAAGTTATCGTCATTTTTTTTTTGATAGTTCTAAAAAAATTTGGCGATTTATGAGCGGGATTAATAGTTGAATCTTTCGTTCTTTGCAATTTTCTGTTTACGTAAGAAACATTAAAGAGTATGGTATGAAAATAAATAAATGTAAAACGAAAATATTGGTAAGGAAGGGAAAAAATAACGAGAAAAGAGATAGCGTAGGGTCTGGTTGTGTTTAAGAAGCGTTCGAAAAGTGGTTTTAGAGGATACGGTGAATAGAGAGGATTAGAAGTGAGAGGTATTAGAAAGAATAGGAGAATAGATGACTCTACAGAAGTCAATCAAAAATAGGCGAGATAGGACACCTTCTCAGACATGAAGGTCTAGTCAAAGACATATTAGAGGCAGAAACAGGAGAGGTAGAGGTAGATTAGATTACTGTTCGCAAACAGTTAAGGATTTGGGTTGTTCTAGTTTTAGGGAAATGCGAAGATTAGCTCAGAATAGGAAAGAGTGAAGGTGCGTGTCCAACCAGTCTTAAGACTGACGACCTTATGATGATGAAGATGAATATCATCAGCCAGTCTATCATGATCATCATCATCATAAATATAATTATAAAAACAACCCACATCTTTAACTATCAGTGACCAAGTAATCTAATTTAGGTCTACTACTACTCCTCTTAACATCTGTTTCTGCCTCTAATATGTTTCTGACTAGACCTTCATGCCTAAGAAGGTGTCCTACCTTCATATCTTGTATATTTTTTATTGATTTCTATAGAGTCCTGTGTTAGAAGCCTTCGAAATGTGGTGTTATAGGCGAATGATGAGGATAACGTGAGTAGAAAAGGTTAGAAATGAGGAGGTATTAGAAAGACTAGGAGAACAGAGGACTCTATGGAAGTCAGTAAAAAATAGGCGAGATAGGTTGGAAGGACACCTTCTCAGGCATGAGGGTCTACTCAGAGACACATTAGAGGCAGAAACAGGAGTTAAGAGTAGTATAGGTAGACCTAGATTAGATTACTGTTTGCAAATAGTCAAGGAAGTGGGTTGTTCTATAGTAGTTTTAGGGAAATGCGAAGTTTAGCTCAGGATAGGAAAGAGTGGAGGTACGTGTCCAACCAGTCTTAGGACTGACGACCTTATGATGATGTGGTAATTTATAGTGTTTTCTATTCAAAAACAATTGTCAATAGAAAAGGCCCACATACATCAGATACCAAAATTTTTGACCTTTACTTGATTTTGATTGGTAAAAGTATGATTTGGACTGAAAAGACAAGGTTTCAATGAACTGTTAGGTCAAGACGTTTCGCCGGTAAGTGCGGCTGGCATCTTCAGTGGTACTACATTGAGAACATCTGGGCCTAACAGTTCATTTATTAGGCTACGGTTTTTTAGCCTGAATCATGATGACCGTGAAAGCATCGGTGTATTGATTTTAATTATTAATATTTCCTGTTGTTTTTTAGATGGGAGGTTTAGAATGTGTAATCACAGGCTTGATGGACGAATTTTCCCGATTTTTCAAAGAAAGGCCTCATTCAAGGGAATTTTTTACTTTGGGGGTTATCATTTTGTCGTTTTCAGTATCCCTGATTAATGTGACGCCGGTAAGTAATGTATTCCTCGTTTAAAAATTTAAAGCAGGTTTTCACTGAATGATTGAAGTAGTTATTTATAGTATTGGTCTTAAATTATTTAATGTTCTCTATTTTGCTCGTGTTTTTTGAAGGGTGGAATTTATATGTTCCATTTATTTGATACTTATTCCGCGGGAATTTCCCTCCTTTGCTCGGCATTATTCGAGGCAATAGCCGTGTCCTGGTTTTATGGTGAGCAGTAAATCGCCTAATCGGTTGTAAAATAAACACATTCGGGACTATAACGCTTATACATTTTTTTAGGTCTGGATAAATTCTCGCAAGACGCTTACGCCATGCTGGGACGACGGCCCGGGTGCTATTGGAGAATTTGTTGGAAAATTATAAGTCCTTCTTTCATCATCGTAAGTTCTGTTTTTTATTTACCTACAATAATTTTTTGAACAAAAATATTTTCCGATTTTCGGGGATTNAAACAATAGGGGTTGTCCATTCAGAATTTCACCTTGTTGGATCCCTCTCTACCCCTTCGTCACACTTTCAGAAATTCCCCTAACAAATATTACGTCACAGAAGCTCACCCCCTCTATAAACGATCGAATTTTTCTCTTCGAGAGGTGCTTCTTAGAGAAGTTTTGAAGTTTAACAAAAAATAAAACATGCTTATTTACAGGCTTTTAAGTACTTAAGAATTATTTTCAATCGTAAAGAAAAATTTTAAGAAGTTAAGAATACAATTGAACTAAAATTGATGAACTGCAAACGTCGCATTTTCTTAGTCCTTCTTTACCTCACCTACCCCCTTATTTGCTAACGTATTTTATGAACAGCCCTTAATAGCCATTATTTATAAAACATTTCAGTGAATTTTACACTTTTTAAGTTACTCAAAACGACGTACTATGGTGAGGGTGTCGTTAAATTGACTTGACTTTTTAATAACTCAATAAAATTCAATTCATTTTTGCTGCTGTTATAATATTCACGTGTAATTCATTTTATGGTATTTTGAAAGCTTGTTGTAAAATCTAAGGTCTATCAAGTTAAGTACATATGGTCGTAAATGCTAAGCTGACTTGACCATATTTGACATTTATTTTTCTCTAATGAAACCCATTTTGTATTTAATAATTTTAAAATTTTTTTTGTTATGTGTCTGACTTGTAATGTCACCTAAAATTTATGACTTACTTAATAAAAGTCAGTCCTGTTTAACGTTGGGTTTACCATCTTGAATTTGTACCACAATGGGGTTATTTCTTTATTAAAGGGCGTCGTAATATTTGGCTTGCTGTACCACGAACCTTTGCAGTATAACGAGTACCTTTATCCCAGCTGGGCAGAATGGGTTGGGTGGTCACTGGCATTATCGTCCATTTTAATGATACCGTTGGTTGCGATTATTCAGATCATTAAAACGCCTGGTACTTTAAAAGAGGTAAGTAATTATTTTTAACTTGTTTGGTTAGGGGCCTAGTGGTAGCCATTAGAAGACTTTTTTGATTTATTTCATCAACGAAAACTTCGTCTCGTTCATTTATTTACTTACTTTAAATAATAACAGTTTAGAAGTACGGTCCTGCCTGAAAAAATAAGAAAAGTAAAAACTAAATCCCCAATGATGATATTAATATTTTTTTCAATTAAAAACAGCTAAAAGGCATGAAGCTCACCCCCTCTATAAACGATCGAATTTTTCTCTTCGAGAGGTGCTTCTTAGAGAAGTTTTGAAGTTTAACAAAAAATAAAACATGCTTATTTACAGGCTTTTAAGTACTTAAGAATGACATTTTATCGTAATCAAAAATTTGAAGAACTTCTAAGTTAAGAAAAAAAAAATTAAATTGAACTGCGAACATCACATTCCCCGCTTGACATATCTCGTCACCCTAATTAAAATCCTTCCTCCTTCTTGTTTGCTAACGTAACTTATCAACTGCACCATAAGTGAATTACCCTTACAGATGCAGGTATAAGTAACAACTACAAGTGTTCAATTCCTTCAAATTCGAAATTTTGAGTTTTTTCAATACTGTGATGTCAAAGGAAAATGCTATAATATAATAATTTATTTCTTTGCATGCCTTATAGGTTTTTGGAAATTGCTTTTTTTCATTTAGTTTTTGAGATATATAATATCTTTCCTAATATCTCTATCAGCTCTTTTCGTCACTCAGAGAGAATGTGGTAAATAAATACATTCATTTGAATTTCAAAAACTGTTTATATTATTATAGGGGTAAAGTAGCAACAATGGGAAAAGGGCCCAAATCATCCACATAAGGGACAGGTAAATACTTGATAATGTTTGATTGCTTACCTCATGAAAGCAGGCATCAATATTTAGAGGNGTAATACTAAATAGGCAATAATGACGTCATTGTTTGGTTAGGGAGATTTATGACAGACTGATTATTAATGTCCCTGTCCTGATATGTTAGATGTTAGAATTAAGTGAGGACGTCTTTGTGTCATCATACATGATGACCTTGAATTTTTAGTATGTTGTAGAGGTGAAAATGCTGATCATTTTTATATGTATATGTTGGGCGCGGAGATCATAATGAACCATACTTTTCTGACATTATTCCAACACATCAGCCCGCTTCAGGCGGTCAGAGGCATTTAAAGAACTCCAGTCTGTCATAAATCTACCTAATTACCTTACAATAATGTCACTAATGCATATACATCTCCAAACCTAACCTAACCAAACAATAGCGTCACCAATGCATATACATCAGGCGATCGTACTAGAACCGCGTAAACTCAAATAACTCTGATTCTAAGTTTACGAACGAGTTTTATTCATTTAATTCATAGAAAGCATTAGTTTTATATGTTTTCTGGTACAATATCGGAATTTCATGGAATTCCTAGGAAATGTATACATTTCCCAGGATATTTGTGTATTAAAAAATCTTTGAAACAATATATTATAGATTTGAAAAAATAACTTCGGAATACATATACATTTCCTAAGAATTTCTAGATTTCATACATTTCCAGTGACATATATATTGAATGGGAAAATTTGAATTAAACTAGATATAAACTAAGTAAAGGGTGCTTTTCGGGTAACCTAAAAAGAGATCTCGTCAAGCTATAATTGACAAGAAAATGTTCCAAAAAAATTGATTAGTAAAAAACGATAATCATTCAGATTTAGATTTTAAAAATTATCGTTAAGATTTAATAAAATTTGAAACACTCGATAGAAAAATTAATAGTTTTGTTGAATTGTCAAAATGTCCATATTGTACCTACATACTGTATATAAGCCATGGTTGGTTATGGCAAGTAGGTAAATGGAAAATTTTAACGCTTGGTATCAAAATATGTTATGATAAAAAGTATTTTTGCAAAACGTAGGCTATTAAATATATTAATTGTAAAGTAGCAAATAATACAAAAAAATTGTTGATTATTAGCTAGTCCATTAGTTCCTTTTTTGAAAATATTTATTGGTGACAGTTTTGATAAATACGTTTGTAACGTTTTACACTGCTGACAATTTTTATATAATACAATTATTAGTTTTTGTACTTAAATTTGATACGCAATTTTTTCTATTATTAGCAACCCTGTTCCTCTAAGACAATTGAGTCCATTTTCCCTCAATTTGTTAAGTTCAAACTTAATCGAATAGGTAGGTACCTATATTGTGCGAGTAAATCGTGTATTTATTGTATATTTGAGAATAGGTGTTAGCGAATATATGTATGTATGTAACTACAACATAATAATATTGAATGTCATACTTAATTTTTTATGGCATACGATGTCTTTGTTAATAAGCAATGCAATAAGGAATCTGAATTAAAGATACCAACAAAACTGTTTTAAAAAATGCAAATAGTTGGAAATGTGGTTCTTATTTGAAAATGATATAACATTTGCATTATGTATATTGACACTTTAAGATGAACAGCTTTGAACTTTATGGAAATTTGGGATACATAATTTCTGATTTAGTTTTGAATGGGGTAGTGGTGAATTTTCACTCCAGTGTAGTATTTTTCACAATACTGGATTTTGTATTTCCGCTGATTAAACATGAGAAAAATGTCCACAGAATATGGGAAATTATAGAAAAAGTGTAAATAACTCGTTGTATTACAAAAAAGTTGGTGTATCTTGGGCAATAGAAAATTTATGGTTGTATTGGTGCGTAAAATATTTTTGTAAATAAATAAGTTAAGCCTTTGGAAAAGCAGTAGGTGCTTACTATCCTTTATGATTTGTTAACTATCAGGTGTTTAATTATTATATACCTGATGATTTTTCTAAATATTTTTAAAGGATACGCACTACTAAATTTTGGCACATTATCCTTCACAAAATATTTTAAGCCTTTGGCAAAGCAGTAGGTGCTTACTATCCTTTATGATTTGTTAACTATCAGGTGTTTAATTATTATATACCTGATGATTTTTCTAAATATTTTTAAAGGATACGCACTACTAATTTTTGGCACATTATCCTTCACAAAATCTTTTAAGCCTTTGGAAAAGCAGTAGGTGTTTACTATCATTTTTGATTTGTTAACTATCAGGTGTTTAATTATTATATACCTGATGATTTTTCTAAATATTTTTAAAGGATACACACTGCTAATTTTTGGGACGTTAAAGGATAAAAATGAAAAGTTGACGTAGGGTCCAAAACGTGTTATAATTGTAATTTAAGATTGTAAATAATAACGTAAAAAGTATTTACAAAACATTTTCGATTATGATTGCCTTCCATAGTTGAAAATGTTCTCAAATAGAAACAATAATTTATCGTTGTTGTAGATGGCCAATGTGGCGATTTGTGCTGTTCACTATTTTGTATTTAAATACAACAAAAGTCATAAGTATATCATGTAAATTATTATGATAATAATAAAGCCTGTCACATTTATTTCAGGAATATTATTGTTCATATCCTTATGGGTGTGTATAGTAAATAGTGACAAGCAAAACTGATCTTTGTCTTGCAGTATTAGTCTTGGTCTTGTTAGTATAAAGACAGACTTGAGAAAATTCTCGAATTATTACTTTCGGTGGATTTATGAGTTAAATTATTTGAACATTCTTTTCCCCGGAGAAAACAGTTTTTCAGTATTCCAAATTTTCAATTTGTTTTACTAGACTTTAACACTAAATATTGTAACTTATTTCTTTGTTAACTTATTGTGTTAGGTATTATCATTGTTTCATATGTTCGCAATATTTAAACGGTGGTCGAATCTTTAATTTATGAATGTTTATTCATGATCGTCATCGCTAAAAATAGAACAACGAACAAGAAATCAATAGAAATCGTTATCCTTCGGCGCCTTTCGCTCTTGCCTTCGGAATTCGAAAGCTTCATCAGGCTCGAAGCTTTCGATTTACAAGGCCGAATCCTTCCGAACGAGTTCGAGCAGACGCAGAGCGTCCTTTTGCCGTAGCTTGGCTTCATTTCGTCGNGATGTAGATTTTGAAAAAGGGTGTTATATAATAGTGAACGAACTCTATATATTTATTTAGGACCCCCACCATGTTATATAGGAACGAATTTTTATAGATATACATTTACTTCAAACTTTGATCGAATATTAGAAGCGAATTTATATAAATTAGAATAATCTAATCAACAATCCAATGGATAAAGACAATTTATTTATATTCAAAGAACAACTTAGCTGTAATTAATTTGATAATATAATGATAGTATTAGCCTATTTTAATGAATGACAGGGGAACGTAGAAAATGACAGGGAACTACCATAGGATGAGTAAAGATGACAAGCCGCCTCACCACTTTTCATAGATTCGACTTCCGATTCCCTTGATTATTATTGATTCCGCTATTTAAACTTTTCGCTAATTGACCTACTAACTCAGTAGGTAAGTAGATGTTTGCTTGCAGTTAATTTAGATGTACCAACTTTGTACCAATAATCTCAATAAGAATTTATGGATACTACGTAGCAAGTGCCCCTGAAACTTGTAGGCTTCTCCCCTAAGTGAACTATGAGAAGGTTCCAATAGGGGTTGTCTTTATTTTGGTATAAAAATATAAAGTATGATATAAGAAAAATGAAGTCATTTTTACTAAGTTATATTTTTAATGACATAATTAATTTAAATTAATGAAATAACAAATTACAAAAGTTCTCAAGTCTAAATATGACCTTAAACTCGAGTGAACACTTTTATACACTTAGGTACATGCTTTCATTCTTAATTTTTTTAAATTCCTAAACCGTCTTTGTCTGTTATAAAGGACACATGTCGTAACAATTTTTTACTAAAGCCGTCTGAAGAAATTGACTTTTATCTGTTGCTTGTGAGATTGAAGTTGACCAATGTCAAGTCAGGGTATCTAATCAAGTTTTAACTATTAATATTAACAGTTATTGTACAGTGTGTTACAGGTCAGTTCAGTCTCTAAATTTTGTTGGATAAAAGTATACATTTACCTGAAAAGTTTATGTTTTATTCTCATTTACTTTTGAATTTAAAAGTAAAATAAATAGTATCAAAGGCAACCCATTTGCCGATATCTTTTGCACATATCCACGACGATGTGTTCTTTATAACACACGATTTTTAATATTTAATAATAATCAATAATAATATACCAATTAAGTAGTTATATCACAATATGCAATCTTATTACAAAATCTACGAGCTACTTCAAGAAATACAGTCTTTTGGTTCACAAGGCCGAACTGGCTTCCTCTCTTCTTTCCTCTTTATCCTTTTTCTTCGATCTCTTTTTCCTTCTTGAGTCCCTAGTCTTGGGCGATCGTTCAAATAGAAAAAGTGCTTCGTGAAAATCGTCAGAACTAAGATTTGATTCCTGTACGTGCAGGACCGAACTGAGCGCCCCGTCGGTAGACGATTTGGGAAACTTGAAAACTTCCCTTTCTCTTTCAGGTTCACTAGCACTTTTCGATTTCGTGTTTTCTTTATTAGCGGTACCAGAATGTTTAGCATTGGTTTTGGGGCTGCAATGTTGGCTGGTGGGAGGGGTGGCATTATGAGACACGTCACGGAAGGAATTAGAAGTGTCGGTATTGAAATTGTTTAGACTGTTATTTGAAGTGTTGAGGGTGTTGGATGACAGAGGTGCTGAAATGCTCGAAGACCTGGATTGTTGAATAGTCGATACCATGCTTAATCTTGGGCTTTTTGGTTCAGGTGTGCGGGAAATTGAAACACCCGAGATGAAAAGGGTCGGAGATCGTGGTATACCGGTTTCTGACTCGTATTCATTTGAACTATCCGTTTCTAAAGAGCGCTTTTCTGGTTTGGGCATTTTCAGTTTTAGATTGCTTAACGAAATCTTCTTACCACAGCCGTTGTGCGTTTCGTGTAGGAAACTGGTCGATTTAGAAAATTTGGTTTTGTAGTTGGCCGCTGTTTCGGGGTTATTTTTTGTCGAGGTGGAAGGATTGGTATCGGATTTGCTAATGGTTACGTGAGCGTGTTTTGCAGATGCAAGTTTTTCGCTTTTGGTCTTCGATTTCGATTTGGTCGTGTTGTCGGTTTCCTGTAGTAAACCAATGCTTTTATTGACTGCAAGTTTAGTAAGGCAGTAAGTTTTTGGAAGGTGAGCCGAACACAGCTTTGCTTTAAGGGATGCGAAGGGGTTATGGAATCTGATGTCGGAGATTTGTGATATGCGCTCAGTCTTTTTCGCTTGTTGGTGTTCCTTCTCGACGCATGAAGAAACGTCTTCGTCAATTGATTTGTCTAAATCTTCGTCGGTGACGTTTTCCATAATTTCGCAAACTTCCATGTCAGCGTTCATGGAATCAGAAGTGGTGTCATCTACTGAACTTTGACCTTCGTACAATCTCTCTTCCTGATGAGGTAGAAGATGCTGGTTTTGACGTAAAGAACTCGAAGGAAGTGTCAAAGTTTTCCGGACTATTTCTTCTGGTCTTTCGTCGTGCTGACTGCTGTGGTCGGAGTCTAAATGGTACCTGGATTCATCCCCTGGGACTCGCGTCCTGGTCCTCCTTCCGGATCTTCTTATACAAAGGTCGCCTGTTGAGTGGGATCTTTTCAGTCTGATATCGTTGTCATCGAAATCTTCGTCGTCGTCGGCGAAGGTGAAACCGTTTTCGTGGATGTCCGAGATTTGGAAGCGACCGTCTTCGTTTCCGCTGTTGCATGGCTTGAAGAGAAATTCTCTTTCGTTCTTCATTTTCTCAGCATCGTTCCGGAGCATGTTAAAATCAACTTCGAGGTTTTTTAGGTCGATTTGGTGATTGGCGAGAGTCTTTAGAAAATAGTCTACTGTAATATCGGCGTTGGACTTGGAGAAATACCGTCTACCACTTTTTGAAGTTTCTTCCTCCGAGAGGTTGCTGAACGAACCGGAGGAGTCCTGTAAACTGAGTTGGATGGCCAGTTTCAGTTGGTCATCGTTACTTTCGCTGCTGTTGTTCGATATGCTGGAACTAGGGTCTGGGGTGACTGCCGTATTTGCTTGTTTAAGCCTATCTTCGATCATCTGGAACATTTACTTAGAACTTTGATCGAATAATAGAAGAGAATTTATATAAATTAGAATAACTTAGTCAACAATTTCATGTTAGCCAATGGATCAAAACAATTTATTTATATTCAAAGAACAACTTAGCTGTAATTAATTTGATAATATAATGATAGTATTAGCCTACCTTAATGTATAACTGGGAAACGTAGAAAATGGCAGGAAGCTATCATAGGGGTGAGTAAAGACGGCAAGCCGCCTCACCACCTTTCTTGGATTTTCTATTTCCGATTCCCTTGATTATTATTGATTCCGCTATTTAAACTACTCGCTTATTGACCTACTAACTCAGTAGGTAAGTAGATGTTTGCTTGCAGTTTTAAATAAATAATTTAGATGTACCAACTTTGTACCAATAATCTAAATAAGAATTTATGGATACTACGTAGCAAGTGCCCATGAAAATTGTAGGCTTCTCATAAAGTGAACTATGAGAAGGTTCCGATAGGGGTTGTCTTTTTTTTGGTATAAAAATATAAAGTATGATATAAGAAAAATGAAGTCATTTTTACTAAGTTATATTTTTAATGACATTATTAATTTAAATTAATGAAATAACAAATTACAAAAGTTCTCAAGTCTAAATATGACCTTAAACTCGAGTGAACACTTTTATACACTTAGGTACATGCTTTCATTCTTAATTTTTTTAAATTCCTAAACCGTCTTTGTCTGTTATAAAGGACACATGTCGTAACAATTTTTTACTAAAGCCGTCTGAAGAAATTGACTTTTATCTGTTGCTTGTGAGATTGAAGTTGACCAATGTCAAGTCAGGGTATCTAATCAAGTTTTAACTATTAATATTAACAGTTATTGTACAGTGTGTTACAGGTCAGTTCAGTCTCTAAATTTTGTTGGATAAAAGTATACATTTACCTGAAAAGTTTATGTTTTATTCTCATTTACTTTTGAATTTAAAAGTAAAATAAATAGTATCAAAGGCAACCCATTTGCCGATATCTTTTGCACATATCCACGACGATGTGTTCTTTATAACACACGATTTTTAATATTTAATAATAATCAATAATAATATACCAATTAAGTAGTTATATCACAATATGCAATCTTATTACAAAATCTACGAGCTACTTCAAGAAATACAGTCTTTTGGTTCACAAGGCCGAACTGGCTTCCTCTCTTCTTTCCTCTTTATCCTTTTTCTTCGATCTCTTTTTCCTTCTTGAGTCCCTAGTCTTGGGCGATCGTTCAAATAGAAAAAGTGCTTCGTGAAAATCGTCAGAACTAAGATTTGATTCCTGTACGTGCAGGACCGAACTGAGCGCCCCGTCGGTAGACGATTTGGGAAACTTGAAAACTTCCCTTTCTCTTTCAGGTTCACTAGCACTTTTCGATTTCGTGTTTTCTTTATTAGCGGTACCAGAATGTTTAGCATTGGTTTTGGGGCTGCAATGTTGGCTGGTGGGAGGGGTGGCATTATGAGACACGTCACGGAAGGAATTAGAAGTGTCGGTATTGAAATTGTTTAGACTGTTATTTGAAGTGTTGAGGGTGTTGGATGACAGGGGTGCTGAAATGCTCGAAGACCTGGATTGTTGAATCGTCGATACCATGCTTAATCTTGGGCTTTTTGGTTCAGGTGTGCGGGAAATTGAAACACCCGAGATGAAAAGGGTTGGAGATCGTGGTATACCGGTTTCTGACTCGTATTCATTTGAACTATCCGTTTCTAAAGAGCGCTTTTCTGGTTTGGGCATTTTCAGTTTTAGATTGCTTAACGAAATCTTCTTACCACAGCCGTTGTGCGTTTCGTGTAGGAAACTGGTCGATTTAGAAAATTTGGTTTTGTAGTTGGCCGCTGTTTCGGGGTTATTTTTTGTCGAGGTGGAGGGATTGGTATCGGATTTGCTAATGGTTACGTGAGCGTGTTTTGCAGATGCAAGTTTTTCACTTTTGGTCTTCGATTTCGATTTGGTCGTGTTGTCGGTTTCCTGTAGTAAACCAATGCTTTTATTGACTGCAAGTTTAGTAAGGCAGTAAGTTTTTGGAAGGTGAGCCGAACACAGCTTTGCTTTAAGGGATGCGAAGGGGTTATGGAATCTGATGTCGGAGATTTGTGATATGCGCTCAGTCTTTTTCGCTTGTTGGTGTTCCTTCTCGACGCATGAAGAAACGTCTTCGTCAATTGATTTGTCTAAATCTTCGTCGGTGACGTTTTCCATAATTTCGCAAACTTCCATGTCAGCGTTCATGGAATCAGAAGTGGTGTCATCTACTGAACTTTGACCTTCGTACAATCTCTCTTCCTGATGAGGTAGAAGATGCTGGTTTTGACGTAAAGAACTCGAAGGAAGTGTCAAAGTTTTCCGGACTATTTCTTCTGGTCTTTCGTCGTGCTGACTGCTGTGGTCGGAGTCTAAATGGTACCTGGATTCATCCCCTGGGACTCGCGTCCTGGTCCTCCTTCCGGATCTTCTTATACAAAGGTCGCCTGTTGAGTGGGATCTTTTCAGTCTGATATCGTTGTCATCGAAATCTTCGTCGTCGTCGGCGAAGGTGAAACCGTTTTCGTGGATGTCCGAGATTTGGAAGCGACCGTCTTCGTTTCCGCTGTTGCATGGCTTGAAGAGAAATTCTCTTTCGTTCTTCATTTTCTCAGCATCGTTCCGGAGCATGTTAAAATCAACTTCGAGATTTTTTAGGTCGATTTGGTGATTGGCGAGAGTCTTTAGAAAATAGTCCACTGTAATATCGGCGTTGGACTTGGAGAAATACCGTCTACCACTTTTTGAAGTTTCTTCCTCCGAGAGGTTGTTGAACGAACCGGAGGAGTCCTGTAAACTAAGTTGGATGGCCAGTTTCAGTTGGTCATCGTTACTTTCGCTGCTGTTGTTCGATATGCTGGAACTAGGGTCTGGGGTGACTGCCGTATTCGCTTGTTTAAGTCTATCTTCGATCATCTGGAGCCTGGACATCTCCAATGCTATTACTAGTTCCACATTGTAGTCTGAACCGATTTCTAAGATTTTAATATTATTAGTTAATTGTTCTCATAATTTTATAGTGTGTTGATTATTACTTGAACAGTTGTATCTGTTGCATCTTAATCCGCATTGGTGATCTGGGGCTTGAAGGTCGATTTCTTGGATGCTGGTCTCTAGATTTTGCAAGTCTTCTTCTGATCCGAAGCTGGTCCAGTTGCAGTTCTTTTTCCACGGGGTTCCAGGAGAGTAATCTATCTAAAATTATTCACTTGTTAGCACGAGAGTTTCGGGATGACGACAGAGGTTGGGTAAGAAGCGAAAGTTTTTATAAAGGGCGCATGCTTCATGCATTAGTTTCTCTAATTATACTTCTTTTGTTAATAGTTCTATCACATTGACAAACACTGACTGGTGGTTAGATACATGTATGCTTTTATTTAGGTACATTGTGGTATTTGGCTTTCTTCACTTTCCGTTGCGATGGAGGTGTTTCGGGTGGGACAAGACCTTGTGCAACAGCCCTTACGAATTCGTGGCGCTTTCTGCGGGCCAAGGCCGTCGTTTGAATTATCACAGATTTCGGGGTTCGCAAATAAGGTCGGGCAATCATTTCACTCAGCTTCTCTGCTACCTCTTCCAATTCGTTCTAAAAATTGACGATTAATTAGGGTCAAGTAGTAGAACTTTTAGAAAATACCACAAATGGCTCGGTAAACGCCATCTGTAGTACGATGCTACATTTTAGGATTACGTATGCTCCAACAAGGTCCATTTAAATATATGGATATCTACTTGCTGAAACG